TGACTCACCTCTTGCATTGATATCTGAGCTTCCCAGTCGAGTGTCGTGAATTTGCATCCGATCCAATAATTACATCGGCATTCCGTCGCCTCGCTTCGGCTATGACTTCACGTAGCAGTAACGGAGGTGGTTCCACCTCGTCGTCATGGGCCGTGTATGCGGATATAATCCAGAGCTTTCAGAATTCATTTCTGATGAGCATGCAGGATCTTGGTCTACCTGCTAGATTCTGCACCATCAGCTTGAAATTAGGCGTCCTGATCCCGGAGATACCGCTACCGCTTAGCCACGGCTCCTGGATCAGGACTATGTCGGCTCCACCTTGCTCAAGGTGGATAAGGAGATTTGCGGACGCCGCCTTAGAGTGTTGGAGGTTTATTTGCAGGATCTTCATCATCCAAAGTCCGCTCCAGCCACGCCAGTTCGACGTCCTCATTTACTGAGGCCAAGAGCCTCTCTTCCTCCGCCCTGTCGTAGAACCGTCCGATGCTGACGACGGATCCCTCCGTTGAGAGGGCATCCTCAGCACTTTCGGCCCCCGACATGACGGATTCCACCTCCATGCTCACGGGGGCTTCCTCCGCCGCGGGCTCACGTGTTTCCGGCACCTCAGGAGGTTGAGAGCCATCACCCCTGGAATCGGATTGGTAGACCCTAAGGACTACCCTTTCGAATCCATAGGCGATGACTCCCCTGGATTCAGCGAGAGGGCCGAGGGATTGCGCATTGAGTAGTATCAGCGCTTGCCGATGCGACACTCCTCGGAATCTTCTGACCCCTCAAAATTCTGACAACTCTCCAGTTGTGCGTGGGCAGATGCGGGTTGCAGTAACGGAGGATTTCCTCAATCTCCTCCGGAGCGGAGGGCTCGGGGGGGAGCCAGACGCGGGCCCGCGGGCGGGCTGGAAAATCCTTTTCCTTCGCTGCTTCCAGCTTGGCGCCCTCCCAAACCTTCCCCACCAGATACACTGCAGACTTGTATAGTGATGCCGACCGCTCGTCGGCGCATACAATTCTTTTGTGGATGCCATGATGCCATCCACCATCCTCACAGCGCGGAGGTGGACCAGGGTTTCCTCAGACCACCTTCAGAAAGGCAGAGGAGATGGCTGCTGCCACGCGCCTCCAGTTTTCCCTGGATATGGTGTCATCTTCTCTGCCTCGATCGAGGACCCCCAGGGTAGTTGATCCCGCCTGCTTAGCGATTTCGCTGAACAGAGCAGGCGAAACCCCATTCCTGGCTCTTTTTGCGTGGGAGCCTTCTCCCTCTTGAGACCTTTGTCTCTTAGGACCCGTAGGAGGCGCACTCGCGTCTCCTTTCGTCGGGTTCTTGGCCTTCTCATCCAGGCCACACAGCACCCCTTTGGCCCACTCGAGCGTTTTCAAATGTTTCTCGGTGAGGTGAGAAGCATCTTGATCGCCATAGTGCTCCAGAATCTTTGTAGCCATGCGCCTGTCGGAGAAAGCCTTTCGGCCCGACGATTTTTGCCGTTTAGGCATTCCCGAAGGCTTCTTGTGGGGAGCCTTCGAGAACAGACCCGGAAGACTGGGAGAGGAGCCCGCGCTGGTGCTGGCGATTCCGTCTAGCACCCCCCTTAATCGCTCTCTCAGTCCGGCCCCTTGCCTAGAGACCCCCACGGAGTCCGGTTCCGGCACTCCTGCCCTCCCAGTGGCGACAGCACCTGCCCCCCCGGAAGCAATTAAGTGCGTCGGCTTCGACGCGTTCTTACCCCCCGAGCGAATATCCTTTGAGGATGCCCCAGAGGTAAAAATTGTAGAACGGGGCGGTTTCGCCTCGCATACCGCAGGTGGTGCTGTAGCCCCCCCAGATGAGCCGGCTTTTGGGGTCGGCTCCGACTCCCCGCCACCCCTCGAAGGCTTATTTTTTTGTTGGTGTATTGTTTTTTGTTGTTGTTGTTGCCTTTCATATTCTTTTGGGCCCCCACGCAGAGCCGCTATCCAAAACCCGAGCGTGTAGTCGCCTTTAAATGGTCCCATAGCTACCTATGAACAAGACTATGGCGAGGGTTGACCCATGCCCTTATGGGGTCATGAGTTCAGAGCCCACCAGCGCAAAGACGGGAGTCCTCTAAACCGCACCTACACCACCAACTTAACGGCGACGGGAAGTGGAACGTACCCTCAGGCCTGCCAGGGTTTTAACGGGAAGGGGGCAGTTGCGGCATTAGCCCACCAGCCATTTCTGCTGAATGTTAACCCAGCATACTCAGGTGGTAGAATACCACAACCACCAGCTCAGGGATCGACAAATCCAAAACGTTTTCAGAATCGTAGTCAGAGGACGGGTCGTTACCGTTCAGGTTAAGAGGCCGTGGAGGCCCAGGCCATTTGGCGTTACCCAGGGTGCACCACGCGGAGGCGACCTGCTCTACACCCCCGAAGTAAATGTTACTTTAAAATCTTCCACAAACGAGTCTATATCACCCTCGCAGTTATGTGCAGCATTTAATTTAATGTGACTACTGATGAGATCATATTTAAGCCAGTTGGTGTTATTTTAAGTTAGACGAAGCTCAATCTCGATGTTTTGGGTCTGTTCATATAGTTTTATTAATATAGGGGATTGATTGGATGATAGTTCAGGTAGAGTTTCTGCTGTTATGTTATTTCTGTATATGTTTCTTGTAATTGCGAAATCTATTAGGTCTGGTATCTTCTTTATATCGGTGGGCCAGTAAGTAGGTTTACCAGGAGATGGACCTCTAGTCTATTGTGCCTGGCTATAATAGTATTGTATAACTGCCGCGCTTTTGTGTTAATAAGGCGTGATCCCCAGTACGTATGCTTTGCGTTGAAGTCGCCTCCTGCCAGGAATTTATTACCCAGGCTATCAAAGAAATCTTTAAAGTCATTTTCAGAATTTAAAAATCACAATAAATAGCCGACAGATTCAAGTCTCGCGGTCGCGGTTTCGTAAGCATATGGTAGTTGCTTGCAGCTAGGCTGTTGGTTTTGAGTCTAGAATATTTACCATCTGGATGATTTGTGGCATAGCATTTGTGTCCAGGTATGGAGAAATTATATTTATTTGTTAAATGCGTATCGGACAGTAGCATAACATCTATGTTGTATTCAGTGAGAAATTGAGTGAGTTCCAATATACGCTGGTTTACACACTTAGCGGTTTTTATTCATTAAAATTTGCAACAATTGGTTTTGAGCCTTTATGACGTCTTGCATCATATTTTGCATAGCAGACATGAATTGAGTCATACACTGAGTAAGATTCAATATCAATCCTTCTATGCCCCCAGTTGAGGGGTTCGGCTGAATTTGCTTAGTATTGTTTCTTTGAATATGTGCAGATGTTTCTTGATTGGAGTTTGATTTCGCCGTGCTTGGCTACGTTGTTAGTTTTAATGCGTCGACAAAGGAAACGTTGGGAACTCGCTTCGCGTTGGCAAAAAAGGCTCCTGGTGTAGTGATTGATGGCTTGAGGGGTTGGTATGTATGAGAGCTAGTTGGAGTGGTGGAAGGGCTTACGGCTGTATTGCGCTGATTCATGCGAGACTTTAAGTCTTTGTATTCAGGGAATCTCCTATAATTGGCGCAATTACTGCATTTCTTTGCAGCCACATCAGCTTTGATAGCCTTGCCAGAAGCGGAAGCGTGAAGATCGCCACAGGCAACACACACTGGACGCAAGGTGCTGTATGTTCTGGTATGCCCAAATTCTTGACAATTTGTGTACTATATGGGACCGTTTCGCTTGTGCGGCTCCTCCACTGCTATTCTTTGGTGTAGAAGGTATCGAAAGTTGTAGATTGGGTGCACTGCGTTTTTACTGATTTGCTTTGTTTCTGGCTTAAGTTCTACCTTAAACATAGGCTGAGCGATTCTCCCTCTGTCGATATTATTGACAACATGGCTATGACATATTTTTATCAAAATTTACAGAGCCCAAACTTTTTTTAGCGGCATGAATTGGCACTAAATAAGCACTTACTTATGGAATATGTGCCATACGAATCGGGGAATGTTGTAGTGATTAGTTGGTTTAAGTGGATTGTCACCTTGGTGACAAGCAATTAGCACGTTTGCCATTTTGATTCCACAACTCATGCAACCTACAGCCATTTCGCGGCTTTAATAACTTTCAGTACGTCATATAGAGAGAGGCAGCTGCACTCAGAAATATTCTGCAGGAATGGCTTTCCGAATGTCTTTAGCCTCATCCTTACGAGAGCTGGACACTCGCACAGCAACCTCTTGCGACCTCGTACGACCTCTTTTGAGCCCGGGTCATCGCAGCTGCGGCAGAATCTATTGGAGGGCAGTCGATTACTTCAGGGAACTTCGTCCTTAGTGGATCCTCACGATGAATGTCATATTGGTCCAAATCGATGCCTTCTGCGTTCATAGCTTCCTGCAGCTATGATTTCAATTCCTCCTTGTTTCAGGACGTGAATAGTCCTTGCTTTGCCAACTCCTTTTGTAGAGGCAGTATCGTCAAATCATAGAACTTCTACATTTTCAAATCTTACTCCTATGGAATTTACTCCAATTCTGACACCAATTGTCACGATTATCTTTGAATACTTGACGGATTTCCCAAAATCTCCCAGTTTCGTATCACTCGATTGTTAAATAAACGCTCAAAGTGACCAAATCATTACAATTAACTTGATTGTACAACAAACACCTACAATACTTGTTAAGGCAATTCAAACACTTTACAATACTTGCTAAGGCAATTGATCTCTATACCCGGCTTCTGTTTTACAACGGAACTTGTAGCTTGCTTATTCTAAACTGAACTTGTGGTGCGCTGTGGCAGCGCCCTTATATACTTGCGCTCGCGCTCATGGCAACTCCCGAAAGTTCTTATCTAAAGTTATCAGGCATTTCATTTGACGTTTTTCCTCTACATTTTTATCGCGCATTCCTTCATTATCTTGTTGTTCGCTTTGCGAGTTCGCAGTATTTAAATAAACTAATAATATTTTTACAAGAGTTTAATTTGGTTTCATCTTATTTATTTTAGTTATTCCAGTTACTAACTTGCGATTGGGTTCTCGAAAATAAGACACAGCTTTGGGAGGCAGAGTTCAAAAGAGCGGATTACACAATACCACAGCAAGTTTCAGGTGATTATTTGGAGAATTTCCAAAAGGATCTTAATTCGATGCGCTACGTCATAGACGACTTGGAAGTAAGTTGTTCTCTCCTTAAATAAGTTTGTATATTTACATGCATCATCTACATATCGTCGTTTAAAGTACAAAACCGCATATCTGCAAAATGCAACACCGCGTATCAAGATAATGCAAAACCGTGTATGTGAGGTTGCATAATTTATTTTCTAGAGAATAAAAACACTCATATTTCAAAATGGTTCTCTTTTTTTTATAAAGCAATCGTATTTCTGGCTAGTATATTTCAGGACGAATTGATTAAGATTGGACCAAGGGCTTGAGTGAGCAAATCCAATTTTTTGGCAACCAATGTCAGTTACGCGGTTTTGCAGAATGACGATACGCGGTTTTGTACTTTAAACGACGATATACTGATCTATACATACCAGAGACCGAAAATAACTGGCCCACATTAATCATATTGTAACTTTGTCTATCATTAACCATTTATTTTTTACTTTTTGTGATATATCACTGTGAAAGCGTTTTATGCGAGGGAGTTTACAGTTAATGACTGTGAGAAATGGAATCGCTAACGAAAATACAGACCAACCGCAGTTATTTATGCAATTTTTTTTTGTTGAAAAGGTGGGTTAGTATATTTATTTATGGTGCAGAGAAAATATATGATGAAATTGCAACAAAGTAAAACAAACTATAAGGAATACCAAGTAAAACTATTTTTACTCACTCAAATGATCACCGTTAAAAACTATTTTTAACAAACTTTACACGCTGAAACTTTTTTATCACTACTTGTACCCAAGTCAAAAAAGCTGCCTAATTCAACGCTATATTTTCGGTCCATCTTCTTCCCTTATATAAATAAACTATACTAAATAGAAGCAAACTACCGAAGCATTTCATTTAACTTACATACCGCTGCATTTAAAACAAAAAAGTAAAACAAAAGGTCAATTCTAAACGTAAAAAAACATCAGATCAAATAAAAGTCTATCCAATGCAGATAAGCCAAAAACTCGTTATAAAAGTTATTGTGAGTGATTTATTTTTTATAACAAAAAATAAATGTAAATTTGTGACACAGCAATAAATGTGCCAGTTATTTTCGGTCTCTGATACATACTCGTAAAGCACGGATCACACTATTTGTATATTTGTACAGATTTGAACGTTTTAGCAGTCACAGAGTGGTGTTGCCGAGAAACGTTTATTGAGAATGAGTTCAGCTCAATAAAAAAATTTCCAAACAACACCACTCTGTGACTGCTAAAATGTACAGATCGTGTGATCCCTGCTTAAGATATAATATCTCGAACGGCATGACAGATTTTCGTGGAATTTGTAATATATGTGGCTTTCGCCCATCACCATAGTTTACGACAAAAATATTTTTAAACCATTTGCTAGAAAATAAGGCTTTGTAAAATCGTACATACCTAAGCAAAATGGTGATATGCCCTTCTTCTCCTTACTTGGCTCTACATAGGCGTCGGACTGTTTTGAATACCTGCTCATATGAATATGTCGTATTTCGCTGCCAATGTCTCTGCCATTTCCATTGCGTATCATACACTATAAGCTATTTCATGTTGGGCACGTTCGCCAAGGCAAATCAAAACAGTTATGGTGATTTCGTTTATACCAAAATGTGTTGCCTTTTGATTGCCCTTTTTCTATTCGTGTTCGGTTCTAAGATAAAGGCAAACGAAATTAGAAAATTTTGTGCTCGTTTCTTAGAATTACACACTCATACTCAGGCACATTCCCTGCCCCTTAACCCTTAATTAGACGCATAAAAAAAATCACACAATTAGTCGCATGGGGTCCCCAGTAAAAGTATTGAAAAAAGAGTTTTCAAAATAAAAATAAGGAAGTGTGTATTAACAAAAATATTAAAGTACTCTATTATCGTTAACTTAAAAAAATAAAAACATAATTCCGACTTCAAACTTAAAAAACAAAATTAAAACTTACTTTCACCAAAAAATATTACGCTAGTAGGCGCATGGGGTCAGCACTCAAGCGAGTAGCGACACATGTGTACACGACGATGTTCTTTCCGTAACTAAATAAATAAAACGAAATGTATATTGTCATAAATATTAAAGCTCTTTGTTATAGTTAACTTTAAGAAAGAAAAGCATAACTTTGACTTCAAAATTAGATACAAAAGTAAAAACTAAAAAATGTTACATAAGTGGTCGCATGGGGTCAGGGCTTAAAAGATCAGCGACAAATGTGTACACGCCGACGTTCTGGCCGTGACATATTTACGTACCCCGCGGGGAGTTAGTACATTTTTCTTCAATCGCGAGTGTAGGCAAGTCGGTCTGCATATCGTTACCTTAAAAAGAGTATCAAAAACAGGTAGAGCTTTTTAAAACGTGGTATGTACCTCCGTTTCTTTTGGCAGTAACACTTTGAATTTTTTATTGAAGGTGTATTTTAATTTCTCTTACTAATATATGTGAAAAACACAGTTTCCAAAAAGTATTGGTTAGAGCCTTTGTGAATTAATTAACGATCACCCAAGGGTGAACACACTAGCTCAGCCGTTGTATTTGTATGCGTTCAGCTATGTCCATGTCGCTAAAAAGCTCGTACAGTTCGTCAACACATCTTCTTCAGTACACGTCCCCAACGCGCCATAGATCTTGCGTAGAATGGTTCGCTCGTAAGGGCCCAAAGACTTCTTATCTTTTTTCGATATCGTCCACGTTTCTGCGCTACATAGAAGGACGGACATAACAGATTTGTGAAGCGTAACTTGTCTTCGATGAGAAAGGCCTCTATTTTGAATAGCCTGCCGAGCCCAAAGTAGCCCCGGTATGGCAAGCGTTACCCTCTGCTTAATGTGTTGGCTGAGCAGTTAGATATTAAAGCAAAAAAAAACTTGGTGTTTAGGGGCTGCTAGATACCAAAGTAAAAAATATTAAGTATTTAGCAGGCGCTAAATACTCTGGTCCAAGTACTCAGGTTCTTTGGAGATGCAAAATACTTTCAATAAAGTACCAAGGTATTAAGTCTCGATGGCTAAATACTTTCAAACTAAATACTTTATGAGGTGGGTTTTGTCTAAGGCTGAGGTACGCTCAGCCGGCTCAGGGTACAATAGAGGTCCCACTAACCCCCACCAAATCAAACACAATAGTTATTGTAATACGTAGAACACACGAGGCGAGATATGGCCACAGCGCCGGCAACCTTTCATCCAAGAAATGAGAGAGAGAGTAACAACGGCTATGGATTGGTAACGGTGAGAGTGGCAATGAGAGCGACAGTGATACTCGGTGACGACGGTGATCGCAGCGGCAATGAGAGTGACGGTGATACTCGTGACGACGGTGATCGCAGCGGCAATGAGACTCGTTGATGCCGGTGAGCGCAACGGCAATGAGAGCGGCGGTGCAGCAACGGCCTCCAAAAGGCGATGGCGGGTGACTGGCGTTGGCTCCGAGGGCGATAACGATGGTGCGGTCCCAATACTGAAGGCGGCGGCAGCGGCCCTAACTTGTGGTGACGGAGGGAGCAGCGCCCCTGTCTGGCGGCGACTACTGCAATCGGCCGACGGGTTGGGCACGATGATGGGTTCGGCCCAGGGCGGCAACGACGGTGGCAACCCTAATAACGAAGACGGCGGCAGCGGCCCTTGCTGTGGTGACGGAAGGAGCAGCGCTCCTGGATTACGGCGGTGATAGGGGCGGCGGCCTCAAATGCCGTTGACTTGTTGCGGCCTGCAATGAAGAGACAACGGAGACTGATTAGTGGGCCCTAAGCACTCACCTGTGTCGCCCATCGTAGTTGCACACTAACGATGTAGGTGCGGAACGGTTGGTGGCACGGGTGAGTGCGACCTTCCACGGCGGCTTGGGGACCGGTACGAGGGGAGTACATGGTTGCAAATAGCAACGACAACGTCTACAAAGTGTAACGATGCTCATCTACCAAAAGGCGACGTACGCGCTCCCTTACCTACGGAGACTGATAGCGGATGAGCAATTGTAGAGAACCTTATACCCATCGCCGCGCAAGTCGGTTGCGAAGTAAGAAGAGCTGAAAAGGTTTTAGAAATCTTTGCGCAAGTGCCCAACGAACTTTCCACGTGTGTTCGGGCGCATGCTTGCTTGTGCTTTGTTTTGTACATATTCTATTTTTAGCGCACGCTGGTGTGTGTGTATGTATGTGCGCTGTGAATGTTCTGCATATACCGCCGTATACGAATGACTGGCGTATGTAAGTAAGCATTTCGTATGTTCACACGAGTGGCATATGTGCATGCGTATGCTTGTATATACATATATATACGGTCGGCATNTTGTTTTTTTGTAGAGGTGGCACAAAGCATTGAAAGCCGAAAAGTGTGGGACTTGCCTTTCAGCTCACCGCACTAAAAACCCACCCCTGCTCCGTTTCCCTCCCACCGTGGAACTACCGTAAGGTATTACTTCGCGGAGGGGGAGCGGCCTATTGCCAATCTATGAAATTCTGCGGAGTTGTTCCGCTCGACGCAATTTAGATGAAATTGTGCTTGCCAAATTGCAAACAACGGACCAGTTATCTTCTGACTCAAGCATAGTATCCACAAGGTTATGAATCGTACNGCGGAGTTGTTCCGCTCGACGCAATTTAGATGAAATTGTGCTTGCCAAATGGCAAGNATTGCCAATCTATGAAATTCTGCGGAGTTGTTCCGCTCGACGCAATTTAGATGAAATTGTGCTTGCCAAATTGCAAACAACGGACCAGTTATCTTCTGACTCAAGCATAGTATCCACAAGGTTATGAACCGTAAGTGGCCTCCCCACCTTCCTGCTCGAGTCATCCCTTTCGATTGCAAACCTCGGACAGACGAAAAAGCAGTGTTCAGCGTCTTCAATAATATCCTTTGCACAGAAGGTGCAGAAGGGATCGTCTTTGTGCTTAAATCGGTATAAATATGATTTAAAGCACCAATGCCCTGTTAATATTTGGGTCAAATGAAAGTCCACTTCCCCATGTTCCCTACTTACCCACCTTGATATCGAGGGTATGAGGCGGTGCGTCCACCTCGTTT